TTGTTGACAGTGAAACTGCTCTGAAAGACTAAGTGGTTCAGGCTAATTTGGGGGTTTTATTAACACACCGACAGGGGCCCCTGACAAAATTTTGCTTGGGGCCCCCAGAAGTATAGGACTGGCAGCAGATAAATGGATTTGCAACATTCGTGTCCAGTGTAGACACAGTATAAATGCAAGAACACTTTCTGTGTGAGTGGCCCCAAAGTTAATAGTGATGTTTGCCTTTGCAATCACCACTAATAATAATCCATTAACCACAAGAATGGATTCTGTGCAGTAAAGCGTAACTTTCAGATACACTTTCAAGAGAAAGTGATCGACCTCGACTGGTCAGAACCTTTGTGTTTAAATAACAAAGTTCTTGCTTTATTCCCTTTGTTTTAAGTGTAATTTCAATCTTTAATGGCCATCTTTATTGGTAGATAAAGTGCAATATATTGTGCAAACAATATCACAAAACAGGAGTCGTAGATATTTTTGATTAAATTCTTTAAATACTTCAGCTTTAGCGTATGAATGCAGGAATGATCAGTTCTTAGGCGTCGCGCCACCTGAAGGCCGCTGAATATTGGCCTTTCTTTAGATCATTAACTCTGTATTTACTTCGTTTTCTTTTCCTGAATACCGCTGTCAGTGACCTTGTGAGAAAAGGTTATTCAGAGCGTCTACACATTTTTAATGCCAACTGCCCGACTGATTCCCACACAACTTTCCATGATTTTTAATAAAAGTCAGTCAAATAATCTGCTAAACTCATTCGTCATTGCTTGGTTCATTCATTATAGCCTACAGTATTACGTTCCGTGCAGCTGTGAAATAATAACCTTGACCTGGAGGGTGTATTTTGCATGATATGCAACTTTATGAAATGCAATACTTGCTCCTATTTTTATCTACAGTAGTTCTATTTATAAAGTGTATTCATGTACACTACTGGTAAAAAGTTTTAGATCTGTAAATTATTTTAATGTTTTTGAAAGAAGTCTCTTCTTCTCACAAAGGCTGCATTTATTTGAATATAGCAAAAACAGTAATATTGTGAAATACTGTTACAATTTGAAATAACAGTTTTTTTTTCTGTTTTCCTTTGAACTTTCTATTCATCAGAGAATCCAGAGGGGAAAAAAAACTGTACACAACTGTTTTCAACATTGATGATAAAAAGAAATGTTTCTTAAGCAGCAAATCAGCATATTAAAATTATTTCTGAAGGATCATGTGACGCTGAAGACTGGAGTAATGATGCTGAAAATTCTGCTTTGATCACAGGAATAAATTACATTTTAACATATATTCACTTAGCAAACAGCTATTTTAAATTGTAAAAATATTTCACAATCTTACTATTTTTACTGAATTTTTTATCAAATAAATGCAGCCTTAGTGCGCAGAAATTAACGTTTATTTTTAAACATTAAAAAGCCTTGCCAATCTAAAACTTTTGAATCTTAGTGAATATTATTTTATTTTTTTTAATTAATTTTTTTACTCTTGTTCCAGACCCATCTTAAACTAAAAACTATTATCAAAATATTAATTATTAAATGCTGAAACTATGATAATTTAGTTTAACATTTCTACCGAAGATTAAAATGAGAAAATTGAAAGATTAAAAATTTCAATATTTATTTTGTACACAGAAGAAAACAAAAGAACAAAGTAAAATCAATATATTGCTATGCACCATTTCCAATCAAGCTGTTAGCCAAATGTAAAAAGTGTGAAAATATCATTTTAAAAGTGTGTTCAGGAAACATATGAAATCAGTTATAAGTCATTTCATTTTATAGAGGGTCTGCGGGAAAGTTCAGAGACAAATTGTGTAAAAATAAAACAAAACAAACAAAGTTTAACAACAACAGCAACAAAAAAGAATCTTCTTTCTAAAAGACTGATCAGAAATCAACATTTTATATTTCTCTTTAGGTCTATACATTATTACTTTGATGGTGGATAGAAAACATGAATAGAGTCCGTAATAGAAACTGAATATTCACCAGGTAATATTTTATCAGAAGTGTCTTTATATGATTTGAAAGTATATAGTTCCCTTTAATGCATCTGGCCATCAAAAAGTTTGACAACACCTGCTTTAAAATACAATACTTGACAGTCTATTCTATTTGATGGAAATAACATTGTGGTAAAAGCTTTAAGAAAAAAAAGGGCTGCCTGATGTGCATATATGTCCGCTGTAAGGAAGTACCATCCAGTAGCCCCTCACTGCAGAACACAAGATCCAGGGGGCATGGTTGGATCCACATCTAGGGGGTGGAGATGGGTGGGTTTAGGTCAGGGGTAGGCAAGTTCGGTCCTACAGAGCCGCAGTCCTGCATCTGATTAGGGTTGGAGCTGAACTCTGCAGGACTGCGGCTCTCTAGGACCGAATTTGCCTACCCCTGGTTTAGGTATATGTAGAGTGGGAGGAGTTGGATCTGGATCCAACCACGCCCCCTGCATCTTGTGTTCTGCAGTGACGACAATCTCCAAGGGCGTGTCCAGGATTTTATACTTGGGGTGGCAGCATTTGTGAGAGCGCGATTACGTGTAAATTAGTCCTGCCTGTCTGTGCAACAGACTGAGACTGTGTCTGTCTCTCTACTAATAGTGAAGCTGTGGATTTTGAAGAAATTTTCGCTATAAGTTTTCCGTTTCTAAGTATTTTTTTTTTTTGACAAATCACAGGGCAGCGTTGACAATATTCTTTGTTTCTGTGTGTGAGTGATCCGTTATGTGTCTGTACATGTGTGCGTGCAGTACAATCCTTGTAGGCAAGAACTAGTTTAGAACGGCTATAGTTCTGGCATTAATTGTGCTAGTGATTGAGCGGTAGAGGAGCACTCTGAGAGCGAGCGACAACCAGAATTCTCCGACTTTCAAAAGATCCCCGCTTCAGTTAAAATCACGCTGCTCCGCTCTCAATGCACTTCGAACCCATACGCTGCTTTGGGGTGGCAAAGCTAATTTTAAGGGTGGCATTTGCCACCCCGTGCCACACCTTGTGGACACGCCACTGACCATCTCGTACCGTCGTGAATTAAAAATGTTCTGAAAGTGAATGAAATATACTGAAGAGTGTAATTCAACGTTTGACCGCTAGATGACAGACCTTCTCTTTAGCAAAAAAATGCTCTGGCAATGCTCCAGCAGAGGGCGCTCGTAGTTCTTTATTTTACAGCGAATACAATTTGAACTACACAAGAAACATTTCCATAACGTGTATGCGGATTTGACTATTGAATCTGAGCAATATTAAGCTAAAACGTTCCCGTGCTTATATTACTTTTTTGACCATCTATTATTAAAAGGGGGGAAAAAGCCTCGAAATAGGCTACTCAGCATGAGGTTTAACCATGGGTTTAACTCGCGTCCAGCGAGTGACCTACAAAGTGCGCACTAACCTTAACGCGCAGCTCGCTTTAAAACCTCAGTGTGCCTTTAATCTGCGGATCAGCGCGCTGACGTCAGCGGACCCCCGCTCCCATTGGCTGGCGGTGACGTCAGCCGCGTTTTCCCCCTCCTGAACCATGACCTCATCCTTAGTTCATTATAGTACCTAAGTGCACCTTCTGTTTTCCCGGCTGGCTAATATCTGCTATCGCTTATCTCTCCGCTCGCCGGCCCAGAGGCGAAACGGAGGAATGAGGAGGTTCTGGTGGTTTATTCGCATGTGACAGCAGCCCGGACTCATGAGTAAAGTTGGTATACACTAGTGACGGCTGACATGGAGAGCAGCTGAGGCACTCGGGAACAGGGCAAACGGAGGTGAGCGCGAGCTGTGGAAGGGGCGGACGGATATTTGAGAGCGTGCGTGTGGCTTTATTTGATGAGAGGCGAAGAGCGCCTGTAGTTTTGGGATGGACGGACTGGCGCGTGTCTGTCGAGCACTAGTGGCTCGTCTGGATGAGGGCAGCAGTGTGCCTCAATGAGAAATCTGTGTTGAGAAATCTGCATGTATTGTGTGCTCATGCATAAGAATGACAGGATTCTGTGACGAATAAGACTGCATGTTTCGCTTCTGATATGAGTGAGGCTTGTCTACTGTACACTGCAGCATGATGTACACAGATGGAGTCTGGGAGCTTTGTTATCATATATAGTACATTTGATTTACATGAAGGATTTCCAGTGCATATAATACTGTCTTATTTGTTTATTTACATGAAACATCAATAACAACAATACTTTTAATATGTATTAATAAGCAACAATAAACAGTTATTCATGACTATTTATAGATAGTAACATTATATTTTAATGTGCGTGATATATTGCTTATTTTGATCATTAATTATATGTTGAGCAGTAATATGTTGCTATTATTGTTATTAGTAATAATATAACCTTTGATATTAACATGAATAATGAAATAACAACAGTAAACATACTTTTTAATATTTTGCAAGAAAATCGTTTAATTATTAAAATAGATATTAACATTATAATATATAAAATATAATGAATACACCATGATATTATCTGTTTTGATCATTAATTATTTACAATAAAATTAATATTTTGTTGTAATAATTGTTAAATTGTAGTTATATATATATTCTTTTTGATCATATTTAAATTGATATTAACATGAATTAATCATTTTATAAAACATTAAAATGCTTATATATATATATATATATACAGAGGGCGCTCGTAGTTCTTTATTTTACAGCGAATACAATTTGAACTACACAAGAAACATTTCCATAACGTGTATGCGGATTTGACTATTGAATCTGAGCAATATTAAGCTAAAACGTTCCCGTGCTTATATTACTTTTTTGACCATCTATTATTAAAAGGGGGGAAAAAGCCTCGAAATAGGCTACTCAGCATGAGGTTTAACCATGGGTTTAACTCGCGTCCAGCGAGTGACCTACAAAGTGCGCACTAACCTTAACGCGCAGCTCGCTTTAAAACCTCAGTGTGCCTTTAATCTGCGGATCAGCGCGCTGACGTCAGCGGACCCCCGCTCCCATTGGCTGGCGGTGACGTCAGCCGCGTTTTCCCCCTCCTGAACCATGACCTCATCCTTAGTTCATTATAGTACCTAAGTGCACCTTCTGTTTTCCCGGCTGGCTAATATCTGCTATCGCTTATCTCTCCGCTCGCCGGCCCAGAGGCGAAACGGAGGAATGAGGAGGTTCTGGTGGTTTATTCGCATGTGACAGCAGCCCGGACTCATGAGTAAAGTTGGTATACACTAGTGACGGCTGACATGGAGAGCAGCTGAGGCACTCGGGAACAGGGCAAACGGAGGTGAGCGCGAGCTGTGGAAGGGGCGGACGGATATTTGAGAGCGTGCGTGTGGCTTTATTTGATGAGAGGCGAAGAGCGCCTGTAGTTTTGGGATGGACGGACTGGCGCGTGTCTGTCGAGCACTAGTGGCTCGTCTGGATGAGGGCAGCAGTGTGCCTCAATGAGAAATCTGTGTTGAGAAATCTGCATGTATTGTGTGCTCATGCATAAGAATGACAGGATTCTGTGACGAATAAGACTGCATGTTTCGCTTCTGATATGAGTGAGGCTTGTCTACTGTACACTGCAGCATGATGTACACAGATGGAGTCTGGGAGCTTTGTTATCATATATAGTACATTTGATTTACATGAAGGATTTCCAGTGCATATAATACTGTCTTATTTGTTTATTTACATGAAACATCAATAACAACAATACTTTTAATATGTATTAATAAGCAACAATAAACAGTTATTCATGACTATTTATAGATAGTAACATTATATTTTAATGTGCGTGATATATTGCTTATTTTGATCATTAATTATATGTTGAGCAGTAATATGTTGCTATTATTGTTATTAGTAATAATATAACCTTTGATATTAACATGAATAATGAAATAACAACAGTAAACATACTTTTTAATATTTTGCAAGAAAATCGTTTAATTATTAAAATAGATATTAACATTATAATATATAAAATATAATGAATACACCATGATATTATCTGTTTTGATCATTAATTATTTACAATAAAATTAATATTTTGTTGTAATAATTGTTAAATTGTAGTTATATATATATTCTTTTTGATCATATTTAAATTGATATTAACATGAATTAATCATTTTATAAAACATTAAAATGCTTATATATATATATATATATATATATGTGTGTGTGTGTGTGTATATATAATTATGTATTAATAATAAATACAATATTTGAATTATTATAATCAATATTAACATTATAGTATATAAAATATATTGTAGTGTAAAAAATAATGTTTTTTCTTGAGCATTATTATTAACATTAACAATAATATTTGTTATTGTTATTAGTTATTAGTAATATAACAATATAATAAAATAATAATGAATATAAAATAATATAATATATTATTTTATATTTACATATTTATTTTCCCCATTGATTGCTATTAACAAGAAACAATAGTAAAATAACAACAATTATATATTTTTGCCTTTTTTTTTTTTTTTACAAATTAATAACCAATAGATTCTAATTATTAATAATAGATATTAACATAATATACAATATATAATACATTACAATGTATAAATTCTCTAGTATATAAATTAGCATTATTATTTCATAAAGAGTATCATAATGCATAAATAGAAAGATAGTTAGATAGATTCTTAATAAAATAATTAGGGTAAAATATAAACTATTCATTAAATGCTGTATCAGTCTCTACAGTGGCATGTTGCAGCATGACTCCTAAGACAGCTGTGGAGACGGATGTGGCGGTTCAGGGTAATAGTGTGTGTTACTCTGACCCTGTTCAGAGCGGTCATCTCAGGCTGTCAGCGTTCAGACCCCTGCAGAGCTGAGCCAGTGCTGAGAATTACACCGGATGGAGAACTAGGGGGTTTGCGAGAGGTTGCCTGATCTTACTGAGATCTTGAGTGCTTTCTTACAATGGTTATGATTTAAGTGAGCGCACATGGTTATAGTTTGTCTCGGAAGGAAAACTTTGAAAATATTGCTGCTATATACTGATGCACTGATTTGAAATGTGATCTATTCTTGTGATTTAAAATTAAACTAAATCTTCTTGTGCCATAATGAAAAAGACAGATCGGCCCATGTTTAACAAATCCTGTTCCTCACAACAGATGATATCACTGCAACAATGATTAACAAATGCATGCAGGCTCAGACAGAACAATGCTCTGCATCAGCGTGCGTATGGCACAGAGTCCAAATAAGTGATGTCATCCATACAGTTAATGAATAACCCGGATTAAGATATTTTGCTTTCCTTTTTCCTCCATTCAGCGATGTTTGTTCGCAGCTGTTCAGGTGCAGTCTGTCATTAAAAAGCAATCGCTGTCACTTTAAATAGAGACGTGCTTCTCTTTGTTTGGCTGAAAAACATTGCTTTAGGATTTAAGGCCCATACACAACATGAACGATAACTATAACAATATCTATATTAGCGTTGACGCCAATGGGCGCGTTAACGTTCGGTTTATTTGAAGTAGTTTTGTCGTCTGCTGCTTTAAATGTTCGACTCTTTGAATTCCGTTGGATTCTGATTGGCTGACAGTGTTTTTATCGTTTATCTGGAAAAAAAATTGCTCGGAAAGTGATTCCAGCAAACAACAATATCGTTCCTCTGTGTCGTTAACGTTATAGTTGTGGTGCGAATCTCCTTATTGTCATTGATTTAGGGGGCGTTTACTCGACACCATTTTCAACTAAAAACAGAAAACTTTTTATGGGTTTTGGGGTAGGGTTGGGTATCGAAAACCGGTTCCATTTTAGAACCGGTTCCAAATTTCCAAGAACCGGGTATTCGATAAGACGCGTGCATTTCGATTCTACTTAACGATTCCTGCGTTCGCATTTTAATGTGATTAAAAACTATTTAAGTGCAGGAACGGAAAGAACTTGCGCCCT